AGGGAAGGCCTTCGCCACGCACGGCGACGTCACCGCGCCGGGAGTGACGCCAGCGCGCCCTCACGCACAGGCCCCGGCGGGGAGGGGAGGGAAAGGATAAGGCTCCGCCCCCCTTCGAACGCCGGGGAGGGAGGGAGGAGGAGCGCTCTGAGCCACGCCTTCGTGTTGGGGAAGGACACGCCCACTTCCTCGATCTTCAGGAGGGCAAGGGAGGAGGAAAAGATGGAAGTGGATTCCAAGCAAAACTGGACTTTCTTCTCTCTTCCTCTCTTCCTTCCTTCTTTCCTTCCTCTCTTCAAAATTGGAATTAAATGGACCTCATTTCCTTTGTTGGCAGCCATATGGAGGGTTTTATTTTATTTTAATTTTGCTGTGATTCAACACCAGCGGAAATAAAAGAGAGCCATGTTTGAGTATCTCTGTCTTCTTTCTCTCCCCCACCCCCCAGGTCCAATTTCTCTATTTTATGAATCCCAAGCTAAGAAAAAGAGGAGGGAAAGAATCCTTGTCCTTTAGACCAAAAGAAGTCAGTCATTCCTACCGAGTCCCTTTTAATTAGAAAGTCTGTCCCAACCACATGCAGGGTTAGAGTTATTTTATTTATTTATTTATTGAGCTTATACACCGCCCATGTAGACATAGTCTACTCAGGGCGGCTCACAAGACATGCTTTTGTCCCATCCTGGGACTGCAGAGAACGGCAGCTGGTGACTTCAGCTTTGGAGGTGCTGGGAATCTGGGTTTTATTCTGCAGTTTGTAGGAGCGACCAAACGTGCCGAAGCCTCAGCACCTTGGAGAACTACTGTAAAGTGCAGAATAAAACCCGGAATGGATTTGAAACACTCTTGGAAATGGAAGTTCCCAGCTGCCATGGCAGAGAGACCAATTCTTTCCTTGGTCATTCTTAGGGCTTAGAAACACTACTTTCTTCTACCAGAATCCCTTAGCTAGCAAGGCCAGTGTGCTTTGTTTTGTGACTGGTCTTTGGGATATGTTTGCATGTCTTGGTTTCTGAAACAAGGAGGCCTCCTGGAATCACGTCTCTAGAACGCCACCAAGATCTTCAGCTTTGGGTGACTTCCTACCTGCAACCTCTAATTTACCCCCTACTTAAAATGTTGTTAGCCAGTTCTGCTGCGTGGACTCTGTTTTACTTCTGAGCAAACATGAATAGGTTCCAACCGTCTCCCTCACGGACTACCTATCTAGCTGTTGTTTTTTGGAATAAGATTACGAATAGACATGCCTGCTTCCAACGGGTTCCCGAGGAATGTGAAAAACAGTTGCGGAAGTATGTCTTAGCACTCTTCCTTCAGAAATAAAGTCAGTTGTGATCAACCCGTGTGTATAAAAGCTAAGCTAAAAAGCTTTCTCTGCATTTTCAGTGACCTTCTCCACAACGACAGGAGAAAGGAGAAACTTTCCCTTTTGATGAGGCCACCTTCGACTGGCAGAGAAACACAATAAAACTCTTTTTAAAAGGTCATGTTGGCTGTGTGTGTCCTCCTATACGAAGGCCCCATGTGTTTTATTCTCTAGTGGCAGGTGGGAGAAGCAGGGCCAGAGTCTGTGGGTCAGGCAGCCCTTT